GTCAGGCGAGTCTCGAAGCTGCGAGTTCTGACCTCAGAACCACCGCACACAGCCTTCTATAAGGACAAGGTCCAGCTCCAGCCCCACCCAGCCTTCCTTCCCAGGTGGTGTCCACTTTCCACATGAGCCAGGACATCTTCCTTCTGGTTTTCTGCCCTAAGCCCCATGAGGCTAGTGAAGAGAGGCGCCTTCATACTTTGGATGTAAGAAGGGCTCTGGCTTTCTACCTCGATCAGACAAAGCCTTTCCGTAAGTTGACTCAGCTTTTCTTCTCTACAGCTGATAGGATGAAGGCCCTGCTAGTGTCCACACTGAGGATTTCTAACGGATCACCTCTTGCATTCGGATCTGCTTCGAGGTGGCAGGAGTCCCTCCACCACCAATCATCAGAGTCCACTGTACCAGAGCACAGGCATCTTTGGCAGCTTTCTTGACACACTTCCCGATCCAGGACATCTGTTGAGCCATGACGTGGTCCTTGGTGCACACATTTATTGGCCACTACGCCATCACTCAGCAGGCCAGGGACAACGCTGGGTTCAGCAGAGCCGTGTTGCAGTCTACACGTCCGTGAACTCCTACCCACCTCCGAGGGGTACTGCTTGGGAGTCACCTAAGATTGAATGGACATGAGCAATCCCTCAAAGAAGAAAAGATGGTTACCTTTTCCGTAACTGGTGTTCTTTGAGATGTGTTGCTCATGTCCATTCCACATCCCGCCCTCCTTCCCCACTGTCGGAATTTCCGGCAAGAAGGAACTGAGGGTGGGGGGAGCTGGTGGCCCCTATATACCGCGGCATGTGCGCACCACTCTAGAGGCTGCCGGAGCCGGTCCCCTACGGCTACTGCTGTGGGAAAACCTTCCGGCACCGGTGCATGTGGCGAGCACACCCATACCTAAGGAGAATGGACATGAGCAACACGTTTCGAAGAACACCAGTTACAGAAAAGGTAACGGTCTGTCTTTTTTTTTTTTTAATAAACTTTCCTCAGTGGTCAGGCTTTCTAAACCTTTTATCATTTTTGTTGCTCTCTTCTGGACTCTCTCTTAGTGTGTTGCCCAAACCTGGACACTGTACTCCTGCTGAGGTCTCACCAGGTAGAGTGGGACAGTTACCTCCAGTGTCTTATATCAGACATTCCCGTTAATACACCCCAAACTGATAATAGCCTTTTTTGCAATTCGATCACATTGTTAGCTCTTGTTCAATTTGTGACCTACTATAACCCCCAGATCCTACGTACCCCTAGTACGACCATCTAAAGCTATTTATTTCCCATTTTGTAGTTGTGCATTTTTTTCCTTCCTAAGCATTTTATTTTGCGCTTATTTTTATGGAATTTCGTCTTGTTGATTTCAGACCAATTCTCTAATTTGTCTGTCACTTTGAATTCTAATCCTGTCCTCCAAAGTGTTTCCAAACCCCTTCCAGCTTGCTGTCATCATTAGATTTTATAAGCATGCTCTCCACTCCATTAGCCAAGTCATTAATGAAAATGCTGAATAGTATCTGACCTAAGATAGACCCTCTGGGGGAAGAACATCACTAGATATGTCCTCCCACTTTGGCGGTGAACTCCTCTTTGATTATGGTCTTTACACCACCTTTTAGTAATTTCATCTAGACCACATTTCCCTAGGTTGCTTATGAGAATGTCAGATGGCACTGTATCAAAAGCTTTACTTAAAATTAAATTATGTCATTTATGTCATGCTTCCCACCTATCCACTAGACCATTAACCTTGTCAAAGGAGGAAATCAGGTTGATCTGGCATGATTTGTTCTTGACAAATCCATGTTGGCTATTACTTATCACCCGATTATCCTCTAGTTGCTTATAAATTGATTAATAATGTGTCCCCATATCTTTTCGGGTATCAAAGCTAGGCTGACAGGTCTGTAGTCATTCCTTTTTTAAAGATAGGTACTGACCTCTCACGTCGTCCTCACCCTGAATGGGCAGCCGGGGTGATTATCGCACTCCCAGAGCTACTGAGCCCTTTCAGTGCTCTCTTTATGGTAGTGGGACCACTGGACTCTAATCCACCTGACATTAAGATGGTGTCACGGATCCACAGGATCTGTGCTGTGCCCAAACTTTTAAACAGAACTGGTGGTTCTTCAGTGTGCCAGACCCACAAGGGGTCCCAATCTTCCTTAAGGGCAGGCCACATGGCCCCATGCCTCTGAGACTGTCTCTGGGCTCCAGCTCTCCTGCTTCTCACCTTGAGTTCTGCCCAGCAAGTTCCACTGTGGTAGTCTCCTATTCTGAGACTTGTGCCCTCTTCTGGGACCAGTACACCTCAGCAGGATTTGCAGGGACACTAGGCAGCCTTTTCAAAACAGAGTGGGGTTTATTAGTCAACTGCCATACAGCGTCAGAAAGTCCTTAAGTTAGTAGAGAGAAGTACAAGCTAAGACAGAGTTCATACTGACGACATCTATCCAGCCAAGCTGCTCTAGAATCCATTTTGACTCACTCTTTCTGTCTGTCAGTCCCAGGGGAGAGCTCTGTGTCCTTCCAAAGGCCAGTTCTTAACACAGCCACCTGACACCTTTTGGTCCATTGTCCTCCTCCTGCAGGATCCCTACTGAGTTCAAAGGTCTGCCTGCTGGAGTTTCCCATTGTTAGGTATCAGTTATTCAGTCTTTAGGGTTCAGTTGTCTTTCCTTTGATATGGGTTGGTTTCAGCCAGTCCTTAACAACCCATTCATATTGCCCCAGATAGTTACTTGACACAAGCACCTCATGTCTCCTCTTCTACCTCCGGAACATTTTAATCCTTCTGCACTCACTGGGTAGCAATTCAAGTATGTCACTTCCCGCATGAGAGAGTAGGTGAGTGGAAATAATATCTTTTATTGGTCCAATAAATATTACCTCACCCACCTTGTCTCTCGACTATCCTGGGACCAACACAGCTACAAGTACACTGCATACTTCCAAGATGATTTCCACTTTGTCACAGATGGCCTTGGAAGGACCCAGCTAGGGTGACCAGATGTCCCGATTTTATATTTTGAGTCTTTTTCTTATATAGGCTCCTATTACACCCCCACCCTCTGTCCTGATTTTTCACACTTGCTGTCTGGTCACCCTAGGCCCAGCAATCTAGACCTTTTTGCTGGGCTCCCCCAGTTGTTCGATCCAGGTTGTGATGTTCTGAAGGACTCAATGTGCTATACATCTGCATCAAAGGTTTTATTAAAAAGGAAGTGTAGTTTAAACCCTGGTGGTTAGGAGCATATGCCATTCCTGTGTGATTTGTCATATACTGCAGATTGAGACATCACCAGAGGTGTTGCTTTAGAATATTACGCATGTGCTGTACACTGAGGTCACAAATAATGCATTTTAATAGTAGTTGCCCTTAAAAACTTTTCAGGAGGTTTTGTTACTAAATAAGATTATTAGGGTAACTGCCATACTCTATAGAGGTTTCCTATATTAAGTGGAAGAAATACTGCAAACACTGAGATTTGGTTTATCTAGGTAACTAATGATGATTAGTATAGTAACTCCTTGCTTAACATTGTAGTTATGTTCCTGAAAATTCTACTTTAAGTGAAACGATGTTAAGCAAATCCAATTTCCCCATAAGAATTAATGTAAATAGGGTTCCAGGGAAATTTTTTTCGCTACACAAAAGACTACGCACACACATACATATACGCAGTATAAGGTTTAAACAAACAATTCTGTACACAGCAATGATGATTGTGAAGCTTGGTTGAGGTGGTGAAGTCAGAGGGAGGAAGAGGGTGGGATATTTCCAAGGGAATGCCTTACTGCTAAACGATGAACTAGCGCTCCACTGAGCCCTCCAGGGTTAACACATTATTGTTAATGTAGCCTCACACTCTACAAGGCAGCAGGAATGGAGGAAGGGGAGACAGCATGGCAGAGAGAGACAGAGACATACACCCTGTGTGAGAGAGAGATGCGCATTGTCCCTTTAAGTACACTGACCCCACTCTAAGTACACTGCCCTTTTAAGTAGATCAACAAGTTGTGACGGCAGCTGCTGCCAGCAAGCTTCCTCGGTCCTGAGCCCTGTTGTCTCTTCCTCCCCCCTCCTCACCCCCCGCGCTCTATGGAGATGGAATAAAGAAGTGGGGAGCAGGGGGGAAGGGGGCACCCTGACATTAGCACCCTTCCCTCCCCCCTCCCGCACAGCAAGCAGGAGGCTCCCAGGAGCAGCTCCCAGACAGAGGGCAGGAGCAACACAGAGCAGTGGGGGGAGGGACAGCTGAACTGCCCAGCAGCTGTGAACAGGGAACTTAGGGGAGCAGGGAGCTGATGGGGGGGCTGCCGGTCCACCCTGGTTCCAAGCCCCCACCAGCTAGCTCCAAGGGGCTGCTCTTTCTGCAAGCAGTAGACAAAGCAGGCAGCTGCCAAACAACGTTATAAGGGAGCATTGCGCAACTTTAAGCAGAGCATGTTCTCTAATTGATCAGCAACAAAACAACGTTAACCAGGACAATGTTAAGTGAGGAGTTACACAGATGTAAAAATACAATACAGTGTTATGTTTTCTTAAGAGCTGTGCTCCAAGTTAGTGTGTGTATCTGAATTTAAATAAAATTGTAAAGGGAAATGTAGGGTACCTAGCTGGATGTCAGTTGTTGTTGAAATAGATCTTGAGAGCAGGTTTTACTAAACTCCTGTGGTAGATGATGTAGCCTTAGGCAAAGAGGCTGGGAGCTATTCCAACTCCATTCTGTGGTTTTATATAAGTTAGGGTAAAATAACATATGGAATATATTTATAAGGAAAATAAATCCTCCTGTCTCAGGACACAAGCCAGCCACTGACTGCTGGGGTTAGCAGCACGCTGCCTCTCTAGGGCTGGCTAGTCGATAGCTTTGGGTGATGGAGATTTTTGCAGCTTCCTCAAGAGCATCTGGTACTGAGCACTGTACAAGGAGGCCACAAGACTTCCGATCCTGTCTGGCAATTCCTATGATGTCTGACTTTGTGTTTGTTCTTTCTCACAGTTCCTCTGGGTCGATCTACATTGAGCTGAGGCTGTCTTGGGAAATGCCTGTGTAGCTTTATTCCCTTCCCACTCCACATGATTCAGAAGAACTTGGTCTGCAGTACAGAGGTTGTTGTTTTTTTTTTTCAAAACAATGTGATATTTCCTGCCCTAGACACTTTTTCCCACATTCTTGACTCTGCCCTACAAGAAAGGACTCTGATATTTTCAAGATGATTCAGGAAGGGAAGGAGAACAGATTGAAAATCTTACCAAAAGAGTGATTTCCCTACCTGATTCCAAGGTGAGCTCTGACACCTGATGGAAATGGCACTATTTTCTGACCTTCTGTAGACACTAACTGATGCATTTACATTTTTCTTTCTATGTTTCTCTGGAATTACCACTGTTACTGAGTAATTTGTAAGGAGAAGATATCCTCAATCCTGGAGAATGGGCATTGGACTATTCTATTGGACTATTCATTGGAATATTCTCCAATTCAAATGGGAGATTAAAAACCCAGAATCTCATGGTTCAGGCCTGGATTTGCTTTCCACACACTACAAGTGTCCAAGGTCTCTGAAGGCTAGTTTAAGAAAACTGTTTTCTAACCTGGAAACCTGCTAGCAGAATGGTTGCACATGATTGTGTCCCTGGGAAGAGTGGCACTGACAAGCTGTAGTCACCTGTTGAAAAACTTGTATCGCCAGACAAGCTGTCCAGGACAGGCTGCATCCACAGCCACAATGGTTATTTATTTTAAATTCCTTTTTTAGGTATATATTTATCATGAGCTTCAAAGTACTGAACAGGATTTAACTTAGAAAACAATGTAGAATTACTTTTAGTCTAACCTGCAACCTTTTTGGAACTTTACTCCTGGTTTGCAGAACTCTGCCAAAAAGCACCATCAGAAATACCTTCCCGTACAAACCCTATACAGAACACCACAATGACATAACTAGCTAGTGTGCTTGTGTGCACACAAACACGTTTGTGAGATCCACATTTCAGGGGGCTCCCTGCCTGTGATGCATTCAAGAGGCTAATGCCCTTGAGGCTCAGGTGAAATTCCTTACATTGTTGTGTGTCTTTTGGGGGAGAAGGAACCATCATGGCTGAGTCTATTCTAGTTTCCTAACTTTATAAGCTTAAAAGAGAAGGACAAATTACCCCCTTTAGCAAGGTTTTCTCAAAGCCATATAGTATGGAACTGACAGTGTGAGAAAGAGGGTGGGATGGGGCTGACTCAGTCATCTCCATTTGGGGATTCATCTAGCAATCTAATACTGAGCCAGAGGCAAATATGCAGTAGAAGTAGTTGGATCCTCTACATTTTATTATATTAAAGGAAGTCTAGGATCACCTGGTTTGTTTAAGTTACTGCCCTCTTTCTGTTTTGAATTTTCCAACTCCTTTGTATTTGGCTGAGGAAAGATTCAGGGGACATGTTACACCATTAAAAGATGAACAGGAATTTGACTTTTCATGAATGTGTAAGTAGCTTTCATTTAGCTGGTCAGTGGGCCTTTTGATTCAGTGTAAAATCTTGCTTTAGAGAATATTTGTCCCTTTTACCAAAGGTTTTTTGGAATGAATTTTCAGTTCTGCAGTGGAACATGCTCCATTCTATAAATTGCGCTTAATACAGAGATTCCCAGAGGCTGTCACACCTTTGATAGGATGAATATACCATTAGAGGTGCTTTTCCTTTACTCTTCTTGCCAAGGGAAGGAATCTGGTTGCTCTGGAAAAGGTGTTCAATTTTCTCAGGGAGGGTTCTCTCTCAATGTCCCAGGGCTTGCGAGATTCTGCTGGCCGAGCACTCTGGTATAGAGAGTGTGGAATGGGTCATTGTTTTAGTCTGCAAAGTCTCACTGCAACATACCACACCTTGCACAAAGCATGACACCCAAAGAGGCCATTATTCTGAAGCCACTATTACAATGAAAGCCAGAATTGCCAGAGTGCAAATCACCTCACTGATAATCCAGATGAATGGAATGCCTGCCCCTGTACCCACAGCCAGAGAGAGGAGCTGGCCTGTTAGGGAGGAACCAGCAGTTCCAAGGCAGCATTGAGGTGTTGGGCAGAAGGCTTCAATATAGCACATGCAAGAGGAACAATCAAGGAAGGGAAACAAAGTTATGCAGCAAACCTTTTTTTATCATGTAGCAAGGCCTGTTAGGGTAAATGATATGGGTCATAAGAGATTGAGCCATCTATATCCTTGAGTTGGAGAGGAAGGAAGACTCGGTAGGTTAAATTAGGTCTTGAATTACCATTTGGCTCAAATCCACGAGGAATGGCAGACACACACACCTTCCCACCCGCCCCAAAAAATTGCTATCGGAAGATAAATATTCCTGTATATGTGGATTACTGCTCTGCTGTGAAGAGAAATCTCGGAAGGAAACTATGGTACTAATCTGTAATTTAACAAATTTATTGTATAAACTAACCAGAGAAACAGCCTAGAGAGGGGGCTGTTGGGTAGAACTTAAGTTTTTTTTTGTTTTTTTTTTTTCTCCTTAAGTGCAATAAATCTATCAGGGAGCTGTGAGGGCACTTCGCTGCATGGGAATCAAGGCTGGAGATGCAGAAATTTTAGCTCTTCATGCACTGAAACTGAATCACATTAGGAATTTGCTGCATTAACACTACATACAAAGGATGGTGATTTATTTGCTAATGTTTGTCATTTCTTTCTGTTGTGTATTTTTGTTAACACTGTTTTCTATTAAATGAAAACTGCATTTGTCACTGACTCCTCCTGTCTGTTTGGTACCTACAAATGACACTTGTTTTGTCCACGGCAAAGAAGAGAATGTGAGATTTCAATAGATCTGAAGCAATTCCCTTTCCAAAGGAGCTCTGCAGAGCTAGTGCTACCATCCACTACCCCAGCGAAAAGAGCTGTTAAGAAAACCAGACAGTGGTTTGAAGTTCTGCATCATACCTATTGGTGTGAGCTTGATAGGGAAGTCTCAGTCCAGTGGCTCAGACGCTGAAATCCTTGTCTCCTCTCCCAGATATTCCTGTTCAGAATCTACTTGCCCTTCTGCTTTTCTCTTTTATGTGTAAAATACCTGTCAGGCAAACCCCTGTAGAGCTACATGAGGATCTTCAGTAGGACTATCAGCAGCCCTTATTAAAGCACAGAAATCTAGATTCAGTAGTTAAGAATAAGGATCTGAGTTGAACCCTCTGCTCAGCCTTCCGGCAGGTGTTTTCACTGCCGTGTTTCCTGAAGCAGAGCAGAACCCACTCTGGCACATCAGACGGTCTAACTGCCCTTGGTTGCGGTGTGTGCATCTCCTGTTAATGTTACTCGATATGCACTGAAATGAGGCCATGACATGTCAGTCATACTGTAGGCACCATATTAGAAACCTTTTGCAGGTGTCTTACAGGGCATGTGCAGCAGCTGCTTTTCAAAACTTCACTGTCCCCCTGAGACTCTTTAAAATGGCAAAAGCATCTTGTCTGGTATCCTATTTCTGAAATGGCCACGATGCGTATTGCAAAGCAGTCTGTGGCAGTGGGAAAACTGCCTTGTGTGTTCTTGGACCTTGTGTGATGTGATGTTTTAAACTCCCAGATAGGGGAACACTGACCAGATTGTCGATGCTGAAACTGAACATCCCTGGAACTTTGGATAGAGCAGGGATCTCACTAGCTTAGCGATGCTTCCCTCAGAAGCTGAATTTTCAGATGTGGGGGGCCTAAAGTTAAGCACCTGAATCCATGCTGGGAACCTAATGTAAACATGATCAGATTAGCTTCTATTGACTTGAGAGAAGTTGAGGGTGTGTAGGCCCTCTGAAAAGCAGGGCACTCTTACTTAGCTGCTTCACTTAAGACACCTTGGTCTGAAAATACTGGACATTGAGCCCAGTCCTGGGTCATCCCCTACTAGATCCTTCCCATACCTCATCAAACTCTTCTACTCCTGCTGCTTGTCAATGTGGAAAGTAGAGATCTTTCTGAAAGACACCTTGATTTTAAATTGAAAGCACTTCATCAAAAGAACAAATCCAGTGGGGCACCAAGAGCTACCATGTTTGAATGGGGCCTGTGTCTCAGACTTCCATCAGATTGACACATTTCTGCCCTTTCAATCAGAGTCTGAAAATGAGAGCAGGAAAATAAATGGACTTATCTGAGCCTGCCAGGGTGCGCTGTGCCATGGACAAATAGACTATTACACAGAACCTTTTCCCCAGGGTAAAAAGTAACACTGCTCTAAAAGGGAGAGGGGCCACAGCCTGTATCAGCAGTCCTGATAATGCAACAAAGAAATTGCCCCCACTGAACCTTCTATCTTTTATAACTAAGCAAATAGAGAGAATCCATGACACACAACTTTCAGCTAACCAGGTACTCTTCTTCTGTGCTTAGAACTCCGACTGAATGGGAGTGTTACCTCTGCCCAGAGCCTGGTGGCAAAGAGACTTGCTCCTGATCACCTCCTTTCTCACTGACCAGTTGCCTCACGTGGATGGTTTTTAGGTACCAAAAGACTTGGAAAGACCATGTAACCTGCCTTTAACTGAATGTTGACATCTCCTGTAAACCAGCACTTGGGTATTAAAGAGTTAATATATTTCATTTCAGTTTTATTAGAAAGGCTGGTATCAGGCCAGTACTTGCTTTGTTATCAAACCCTAGAGAACTATGATGTGTTTTACCGCATTTATGGATTTCTTGTAATACTCTTGGTTGAAATAAAGGGTTTCCTAATTTAGTCTGGGATTGTCTATGGTAAATTCCCTTCCCATTTTCAAAAAGGACCACTTTGCAGGTTGACTGGCCCAGACTTCTAACGTCCTCTCTCTTTCCTTTCCTCTCTTCACCCACCTCTGCGTGAGAGTTCTAATGGTGCCTGCAGCTGGGGAGCCCCCCGCCCCTAGAAAGGAAGAAGATAAGGAAATGGGTGAGAATCCCACTGCCCAGAGGTTATTGACACAGAGGGCAAGTCCTTCAAAAGCAAGGGAGATGGGCTTACTAGTGCCCTTTGAGGGGGTGGACCAACATGCAGCCTTGGGGGGGATATTGATACAACTGCCGTGGCCCTCCCCCGCCAGAGCGCCAAACACTTCCTAAAGGTGAGGCTGTATCATCACCCCTGTTTTACAACAGACAGGGACTGGCTTCCCCAAGGCCACACCAAGAGTTGTTTGCAGAGCCAGATCCTGCCTCTTCTCCCTACCATGCCGACACGTCTACCTTAGGAGCCCCATCCCTCGGCACTCCAGGGAAGGCACAGAGGGGGCTGTCGATGTTGGTGCTACATCATAAAACTATCTATGTGCTGTGCACACAGGAGCTGGTCCCGTGACAGGCTCGGCAGCCTCCGCTCTCTTTTGTAGATCACATGGATGGAGGGCAGTCGGATAGGTCCCTGAAGAGGAACGTCTGGCTGTGGCCCATGCAGAAAGGGGCTCTAGCATTGTACTGAAGAGTTACACCCTCTACCACGTATCAGGGGGTAGCCGTGTTAGTCTGTATCCACAAATACAACAAGGAGTCCGGTGGCACCTTTAAAGACTAACAGATTTATTTGAGCATAAGCTTTCATGGGTAAAAACCTCACTTATTCAGATGCATGGAGTGAAAATTACAGAAGCAGACATAAATATATGGACACATGAAGAGAAGGGAGTTACCTCACAAGTGGAGAACCAGTGTTGACGGGGCCAATTCGATCAGGGTGGATGTAGTCCACTCCCAACAATAGATGAGGAAGTGTCAATTCCAGGAGAGGCAAAGCTGCTTCTTTAATGAGACAGCTGCTCCCAGTCCCTATTCAAGCCCAAATTAATGGTGTTAAATTTGCAAATGCATTTTAGTTCTGCTGTTTCTCTTTGAAGTCTGTTTCTGAAGTTTTTTTGTTCAGGTATAGCTACTTTCAAATCTGTTACAGAATGTCCAGGAAGATTGAAGTGTTCTCCTACCGGCTTTTGTGTGTTACCGTTCCTGAGGTCCGATTTGTGTCCATTTATTCTTTTACATAGGGACTGTCCGGTTTGGCCAACGTACATGGCAGAGGGGCATTGCTGGGACACGATGGCATATATAACATTAGTAGACATGCAGGTGAATGAGCCTCTGATGGTGTGGCTGATGTGGTTGGGTCCTCTGATGGTGTCACTAGAGTAGATATGGGGACAGAGTAGGCAACGAGGTTTGCTACAGGGATCGGTTCCTGCGTTCGTATTTCTGTGGTGTGGTGTGTAGTTGCTGGTGAGTATTTGCTTCAGGTTGGGGGGCTGTCTGTAAGCGAGGACTGGCCTGTCTCCCAAGGTCTGTGAGAGATTGTTTTCCAGGATAGGTTGTAGATTGTTGATGATGTGCTGGAGAGGTTTTAGCTGGGGGCTGTACGTGATGGTGTTCTGTTGTTTTCCTTGTTGGGCCTGTCCTGTAGTAGGTGATTTCTGGGTACCCGTCTCGCTCTGTCAATCTGTTTCCTCACTTCCCCAGGTGGGTATTGTAGTTTTAAGAACGCTTGATAAAGATCTTGTAGGTGTTTGTCTCTGTCTGAGGGATTGGAGCAAATTTGGTTGTATCTTAGGGCTTGGCTGTAGACAATAGATCCTGTGATGTGTCCTGGATGGAAGCTGGAGGCATGTGGGTAAGTATAGTGGTCAGTAGGTTTCCAGTATAGGGTGGTGTTTATGTGACCATTGCTTATTAGCACTGTAGTGTCCAGGAAGTGGATCTCTTGTGTGGACTGGTCCAGGCTGAGGTTGATGGTGGGGTGGAAATTGTTGAAATCCAGGTGGAATTTGTCAAGGGCCTCCTTCCCATGGGTCCATACGATGAAGATGTCATCAATGTAGCGCAAGTAGAGGAGGGGCGCTAGGGGATGAGAGCTGAGGAAGCGTTGCTCTAAGTCAGCCATAAAGATGGTGGCATACTGTGGGGCCATGCGGGTACCCATAGCCGTGCCACTGACCCTCTACCATGTCTTTCTTGAAATGTGGGCACTTAGGTAAGTGGTGGTTTGATTTGTCGAATACTCAGGCTTCCCTTTCACAGCTAATTTGCACATACTGTCCCTTAGACAGGTCACTGCATACAGATCTGTGCAGGAAGAGGTTAGATCTGCCCCTGACTGTCTTGTTATCCAGGCTTCCACCTCCAATCTGTCCCCTACAGTTGGGGCTTGTGGGTGTCAGGCACTGGGTGGCGAGACCCTTGAGCAAGTGGGCTTTAGCAGCGGGCTATTTCCACCCACTTTAAGGCCTCTCTATGCTGCCAGAGCAGGGTAAAGTCCTTGAAGTATAATGATTGTTTGTTGGACTGGGACCAAACAGGCCTGCGTGCCCCTACCTTAGCCCGACTGCCCTATGTGACAGGGTCGGGCCAGATAGCTCCAGGAGAGTGATCCTATTGGGATCCGCCCACCCACTACTAGAGGACCTCCCCCAGCCTAAGGGGAGTATCCACAGGACATCCACAGTATCCAAGCGAGTACGGGGGACAACTAAAGATAAAACAGGGACAGGAGTGAGGTCATAGGGCTAAACGAAGAGAACTTGATGGGGAGTATAGCTAGGTGTTTACACTCTCCCATGTAAAATGGAGATGCAAATGAACCCTTCTAAGAAACAGCTGCTGGAATCTATTGTATTGAGTTAACGTTACAGAGGGGGCTGGCTGCGACTTTGCTTTTGGGTTAGAAATGGGCTCAAACAGACATCAGCGGGGCTGACGCTTCGTGCTATGTACATGCTACAGCTGCACCTAAGCATTTATGTGCAATTGCTCACAGCTAAAATCTTCAGCTGCTGCATTTGTACCATCCAGCAACCCCACCCTCTGCCTCGGCTTAAACATGGGGCTGGGAGCTGGAGGGAGCCACCCTAGGAACTTAGAAAACTCATGGCTTCGTTGCTGTACACACAACATACCTGACCCAAATCCACCAAAGCCAGGAACCGGAGAGCATCACCCACCGGTTCACGCCCTCTATGGTTCCACCCCCAAGTACCCACCTTAGACCACACATGGTAACTTTATCTCTGCTCTCTGGAGATGCTCGCCTTCCACTCCCCACCTTTACCAAACTATCCCCTCCTACCTAGGCTGACCAGATGTCCTGATTTGATAGGGACAGTCACGATTTTGGGGGCTTTTTCTTATATAGGCACCGATTACCCCCCACCCCGTCCCGATTTTTTACGCTTGCTGTCTAGTCACCCTACTCCTACCACAAGTGCGTACCAATGGAACGAGTTCATTTAGGGAGGGAATGTTTTTTTTTCCCCTGAAAGTTAAATTGATATAACCCGTTCTTTGGGTGACATGAGAGCACAATATAGCTTAGTCCTGTAAACTTAAGGAACCAAATCAGTGGTTTTAAAAATTTTTAGGCTGTGTGCCCCTTTCCAAATAATGTCATCTACTGCATCCCCCCATCTGAGATAGGCAAGGGGGGGGGGGAGACGAAGGGTTACGTGCTCCCCCCTGATTTCTGTCTTCCATTTCACAACTGCTTTTAGAGATTTTCAAACGGGGGGGGGCATGGAGGAATGTTCAGGGGGGTGAGCAGCCCCATGCAGCCAGGCTCAGGGAAGGACCGCCACCTTCGCCCTCTAAGTCACCTCAGGTGACCACCCAGACTGCCTGGATTGCCGGGGGGGAGTAACAAAAAATTGTAACTCAAGGGGGGGGATGTCAGTTTAAAAAGTTTTTTAAAAAATTGCCTTGCATTGGTGTTTGCCCCTCTCACCCAAATGTTCCTCTGCGCTCCCATAGGGGGCAGGCCCCACCATTAAAAAACCTCCACGCTAAGCTATGCCACTAGAAACACCCTTATATGTGCCTAGCAGTGTCTGCAGTAGGGGCTGCCTAGCTCTAACCGTACACGTTTCTAACATAGCTGCAGCAGCACAAAACTTGGGTAGCCCAGCCCTCCGGTGTTAGCAGTCATAGAATATCAGGGTTGGAAGGGACCTCAGGAGGTCATCTAGTCCAACCCCCTGCTCAAAGCAGGACCAAGCCCCAGATCCCAAATGGCCCCCTCAAGGATTGAACTCACGACCCCTGGGTTTAGCAGGCCAATGCTTTTCTGTTGCAAAATTGCCACCCTTAAGTCTTTTACTGAGTGGCCAGAGAGATTGAAGTGTTCTCCTACTGCTTTTTGAATGTTATGATTCCTGATGTCAGATTTGTGTCCATTTATTCTTTAGCATGGAGACTGTCCGGTTTGGCCAATGTACATGGCAGAGGGGCATTGCTGGCACATGATGGCATAGATCACATTGGTAGATGTGCAGGTGAATGAGCCCCTGATGGCGTGGCTGATGTGATTAGGCTTTCTTCCGGCAACTCGCAGAAGTTACTAGATCACAGGCCCTGGTTCTCATGGGAGACTTCAATCACCCTGATATCTGCTGGGAGAGCAATACAGCGGTGCACAGACAATCCAGGAAGTTTTTGGAAAATGTAGGGGACAATTTCCTGGTGCAAGTGCTGGAGGAACCAACTAGGGGCAGAGCTCTTCTTGACCTGCTGCTCACAAACCGGGAAGAATTAGTAGGGGAAGCTAAAGTGGATGGGAACCTGGGAGGCAGTGACCATGAGATGGTCATGTTCAGGATCCTGACACAAGGAAGAAAGGAAAGCAGCAGAATACGGACCCTGGACTTCAGAAAAGCAGACTTTGACTCCCTCAGGGAACTGATGGGCAAGATCCCCTGGGAGAATAACATGAGGGGGAAACCTCCTTATTGAGGTTAC